ATATATATATATATATATATATATATATATATATATAGTTATATCTCAACTATTATGTGTATCTATATTCATTACATCATTAAAAATATTGTTCTTTTGTAAATGTAGGTTGAAAATGAAAAATCGAGACCATCCCCATTCGAGAAGCTAATAGGAAGATGTTTCGAACCATATCTGAATATTTATATAGAAAGTTTGGATCGCAATTTAGCAGAGCTAATGGACAAATTCATATCCGATTCTAAAACGCAACCACCAGGTGCCAAGGAATTTGACAGCATTGAAGGCCCGAGCAGCGTCTTGAGCTCCTGTGCCGATTTGTTTGTATTTTATAAGAAGTGCATGTTGCAATGCACGCAACTTAGCACCGGTTTAATCATGCTGAGTCTTGCTGAGACTTTTCAAAAGTATCTGCGGGAATATGCAGTTAAGATCTTACAGAATAATTTACCTAAGTGAGTGTAGCAATAATGTAAATTAGTTTTAGAAATGTAATTATGTGTGTATATCTTTCTCTCTCTGGCTGTTGTAGAATTGGAGGTAGTGCAGGAATTGGTACCAGCATGAGCAATATCACGCGTGATATTGTGTCAACCTCAGGCTTTATTCAAAACTTTCAAAGTTTTTTAAAAGAGGGAGAAACTGCTAGATTTAGCAAAGAAGAACAATCTCGTATATGCTGGCAAGTATATATAAGCGAGTATATATAAGCATTTGATATCAATTTTTTAGTTCCAATTCAAAATGAGTAATTATTACATATTTTCTTTTAGTATTTTAACAACGGCTGAATATTGTTTAGAAACAACAAAACAATTAGAGGAGAAACTCCGTGAAAAGACAGATAAATGTTTTTCAAATAAAATAAATTTAGGTCAAGAACAGGATATCTTTAATGAGTATGTCTTTTCTAATTTTACATATTTTTAAAAAAATTTCAAGATTGTTTAATCCCCTCCGTTTTTCAGAGTGATTTCTAATTGTATTCAGTTACTAGTTCAAGATCTAGAAGCAGCATGTGAGTCTGCATTGACTGCAATGACTAAGGTAAATTATAAAAAAAATCACAATTAATAGCATACAATTAGTTATATCGTAAAATAATTTAGATACTTATTCTATGATAAAAAATCAAATTAATAACATCACAATAAGAATATAATATATAAAACTGATATCAATATCATATAAAAATTGTCTTATTTTAGGTACAATGGAGTTCAGTGGAAGTCGTAGGTGATCAAAGTAATTACGTTAATACCATAATAGCGCACCTTCGACAAACAATTCCAACTATACGAGACAGGCTGTCATCTTGTAGAAAATATTTCACACAGCTTTGCGTCAAGTTTGCTAGGTAAAACGTTTTCTTACACGTGTTCAAATACCTTTTAGGGTTTTTTTCGTATATCATATCGTATATGATTTGTTTCAGCTCTTTCATAGCAAAATTAGTACAGCAATTATTTAAGTGTAAGCCATTGAATGCCGTCGGTGCAGAACAGTTATTGTTAGATGTCCACATGTTGAAAACAGCTTTGCTGGATTTTCCATCGACAGGTTATCAAGTACAGAGAAAAGCTCCAGTAACATATACCAAAGTAATTAAATAAATTAAAAAGTAAATAATAAGATAAATATATATTAAACATTTAATATGTTATTTATCATGCAGGTTGTGGTCAAAGGCATGGCAAATGCCGAAATGATATTAAAAATTGTCATGTCCCCGATCGAATCGCCTAGCGATTTCGTAAAACAGTGCAATATACGCTTGCCTGGTTTGCAAGCTTCAGAATTCCAAAAAATTTTAGATATGAAGGTAATTCGTGTAATGTAAATAAAAATACTATATATTATATTTTTAATCAAATATCTAATAAAATTGATATTATTTTCTAGGGATTGAAAAAGACGGACCAAACTCCATTGCTCGAGCAATTTAAACAATCTGAAAATACAAATGCCGCAAACGCTACGAAAAGTCAAGTAATACGTAGCAGCCCGAAACATGAAGCTGGAAGAATCAAGAGGCTAGAGAAACTCATCAAGGAACGAATCTAAGAATAAATATAATATTCATTGTAATTGTACATACTTGCTTAGAAAAAAATTTTCTCTTACCTTAAAATAATAAAAATCATTTATACTAAATGTGTGGAAGGAGATATGAATGGGACAATTTTATCAAATAAATGTAGGAGATGTCCAGATGTTTTATCCTTTATTTTCTTATGTAACCTGTAGAAATAGGCAACGATGTTAACCTTGCTTCTGTGCAAGTTCCTTGGCCTTAGCTTTTTCCAATTTTGCTATCCTGGCTGCGGATTTACTACCCAATAAACCACCACCCCAGTGACGTCTGATTTCATCATATCGATCATTGAAGTTAGTTTTAATGGCTTCAACAATCTTTGCGAAGTTGGCTCTATCACCAGAATCAACCTGAAATAACAATGATACGTCTTATGATAAAACTGAAATAAAAAATAAATCAGATTTTTGTAAACGCCATATCAGAAATCTTTTGGTAATATCATAATTTATCATTGGATTGGCTCTGTGATATTCATCATAAAATAATACAATCAAATGCAAAATTAAAAAACAAAAATATAAGAGAATTAAATATAATTTTACATACTTGAGTAAGTGCAACCGCTGAGCAGGTTTTACGTCTAACCAAACGTCCCAAACGTGCCTTGCCTTTAACAATGCAGTATGGTACACCCATCTTACGGCACAAGGCAGGAAGGAATAATACGATCTGTGTTAATAAAGACAGAATTAATTAAATTACATATGATTCCTTTCTACATGCAAATAAATTAATATAAAATATTACTCAGATGTCAAATATCATCTTATGAATACAAATAAAATATGACTTTTGTATCTTCAGGTGAAGAAATTTAGCATCATTGTTGAACAGAATATAGATATATCACAACATAAATTTAACAATTATGAATTTGAACATATAACTAACCTCAATAGGATCAACATCATGAGCGATAACAACTAACTGAGCTTTCTTTTGTTCCACCAATGTGGTCACTGTGTTAGTTCCGCTGCGAATGACATTTGGTCTCTTTGTCGGTGTATCTTCCTTCTTTGCGATTTTCTGCTCAGCTCTCGCCTTCAACCTTGCCTTCTTCATGGCAGCTGATTCAGGACGATATTTCTCCAACACTTTGAATAATTGTGTAGCTACAGTGACATAAGAATGTCATTATATTAAATTTTATCACATAAATATAGAATTTAATAGTCTAATCTTTTAAATTATACAAAATTTAAGTTACCAGTTTGTTTGTCCAACGTTTGTGCAAATTGATTTATCGTTGGCGGTACTTTCAATCTCTTCTGCAACACAGATCTTTGGCGTTGGATACGAATGTACTTGGGCCATCTTACAAAACGACTAAGGTCACGTGCTGGTTGGATATCCTGGCCTAAATTTTAAGAAAATTTTATGGCTTCTTTATCATTCTTAAATTATTAATTTGAAACTTAAATTATTAATTTAATTTGAAAGTTATAAACTACAATATTATTTTTCGTCTTACCAATGCCAAAGTTACGTGTTCTCTTTTCAAAGAGTGGATTGGTCACTTTCTTGGGTTCAACCTTCTTAACTGCCAATGGTGCGGCAGCTACCTTCTTTCCTACCTTCTTCTTCGGCTGAAAATAAAATTTAATAAGAATCAATAAAAATAATTTTCAGTTAACAGTTCAAATAACAGTTTACAATAGTCACAAGCTACAATAGTCACAAGCTAGTCATAATCTTAATAAAATATATGAACTAATCAAAGTTACAATTACTGCCAATTTCATTCAATAAATATTTAAAAAATTTAGATTTACCTTTTTATCTAATAATAAAATCTAATAAAAAAAATTAAAAAAACGAGGAAAACTTCCCTACTTTCCCTAATCAGCCGTTCCAATAGTCACCATAGCGTTACTTTGTATTATGCAATTAGGTTATAAAACATTAAATTGATTTCACGTGAACGCAAATCGACCAGTCTGTAGCTACAATTTTACAAACAATTTTACAGAAGTTTTACAAAAAGAGCATTTTCTAGATTCCCATTATACAATTACGAATCAATTGATTGCGAAATGAAAACATCTTCGAATTGCATGCTGGAGAAACATGCTGGAGAAACATGCCATTCGAACATCAATATTTATTGCTAAGGACATTATTTAACAGAAATATTATTCGTATGCGATGGCTCAGTAAGCTTACCTTCTTCTGAACCATCCTTATAACTAAAAATCCAAAGGATTTCTATCAGTTCTGCCGGATACAAAATGTGGTACTTCGCTAAACGCGATGCGAAGCACAATCGTCGACACCGTAAAGGAAGTTCTAGCAGCAAAGCGCCACTGAAGCGACAATGACGCCATTGACACATCATCTTCGTAAGAGCGGTACTTTTAAATTATTATATAATATAAGGCGAGTTTTTTAATTCATCGATTAATAAATCGCATTATGCGCAAACGCAACTTTACCCTATAAAAGCAGTATTTGCACATTATGAATTGAAAAAACTCGTCATACTTATTACAAACAGTATTTTCAAAACTCGGCATTATTTAAAATATAACATTATTATAAAATTAACATTAATACATTCATAGATATTGACATAACAATAATAGTTTTTAAAATCTACTGCCGATTGTTATTAATGTAATATATTATGTCTGATTATATTTCAAATTTACATTAATACATTAATTAAAATGAACTGAAAGAAGTGTTTAATTAATTTTATTAATATGTAAAAGCATTCAATTAATTTCCTTAGAAATATAGTAATAAATTTTAAAAATTTTATTAATTTTAATTAAAACATTTTTGATTTAAGAACATGTAAAGTTCACTGTGTTAAATCAATAGAATATATTCTAAAAATATAAAAATCTTTGATATTTGGTTTTTACCTTTGATTTTTCAGATCTGAATATATAAATCAATATTAAAGAATCTTGCAAACTATTTTTTCTGTTGAACGCAGCTATCAGTGGAACGATGCATTCAGTGAAATATTAGTGAGTGATCAATGATTATTAGTTTTTACGATTAGAGCCCTAAATTTAGACCAATTATTCACCGTTGTATAACCATGTGTTCGCAGTCATTGGTTAATTCTCTCTTCGTCCGAGATTTCGGAGCGATTTCTAGCATAAAGGTTTAAATTATTTCTAACCTCGATTTCTGCTGCGAATAAATAGCGGCTAACATTGATTTAATCAAATTTCATCATGAATAATACCAGAAAAGCATTGACAATTCGATCATGAGTATGAGAAATCCTATATTACAAAAAAATTAGAAAAGAAATATTAGAAAAAAATACAATAGAATTGTGTATCTAAAAGTATATAAAAAAATTGTAAAAGAATTAATTGAAATCGTAGTATAATTAAGAAATGATGTCGAAGATTCCTTTTCGTGGGGCAAGTCGAATGTTCCGTAGCAAATTGAATCTGCTGAATACCAAGTGTAATCCTAACAATGTATGTGATGTCGCGTTATCCACATTGCCACCTAATAGTCCGATGAATGTATTCGATAGGAATGCGAAACTACTGCAGCGCGAACGCGCCGCCAAGAATAGCGACGTCCATCTATATGATTATATTAAGGACGAGGTGGGTGACAGATTGGCTGATCGAATATTCGATATCAAACGAAAGTTTGATAGGGCCCTTGATCTGGGATGTGGTCGTGGTCATGTGTCCAAGCGGATCCTTAACGAATCTGTTGAAGAGCTGGTGCTGGCAGAGATGAGTCCAACTTTTTGCAGCAAGCCAAGACTACGGAAGGCATCAAAGTCAAAAGGGAAGTCATTGATGAAGAGAATATATCCTTTGAACCAGACAGCTTCGACATGGTAATTAGTTGTTTGAGTCTTCATTGGGTCAATGATCTTCCTGGATGCTTTAGACGTATCAATGACAGCCTAAAGAAGGATGGAGTCTTTTTGGCAGCTATGTTTGGTGGTGATACGCTTTATGAATTGAGGTATGAATTTAAGAATAACAGAATCAGATTTAGATCAAGGATTTTTCAGAATGACCTATCTACTTGTATCTATTATTTCTTATTCATTCTGATAATACAGAAGTTCCTTGCAATTAGCTGAACTTGAGAGAAATGGTGGAATCTCGCCACATATCTCACCTTTCGTGGAAATCAGAGACATTGGATCTTTATTAACGAGAGCAAACTTTACTATGTTGACTATTGATACTGACGAAATAGTCGTTGGTTATCCAAGCATGTTTGAACTTATGTGGGATCTAAAAGGTAAAATAACATTTTTAATAAAATTTTTAACTAAATAAAAATCATGCACGTTCGTATATAAATATCTACCATAATTTATATATATTTGTTTAGGAATGGCTGAGAATAATGCGACCAGAAATCGTAACTTGCATCTATCAAAGGATGTGTTGATTGCAGCTGCAGCTATATACAAGAAGCTTTATGGAAAAATGAAAGAAGATAACACTGCATTCGTTCCTGCCACATTTCAAATAATATATATGTTAGGATGGAAACCAGATGCATCTCAACCAAAGCCTCTTAAGAGAGGAACAGGAGAAGTATCGTTGAAGGATTTAGACAAACTCGATGAAATAATCAAAAACAAATTAAAACTAAAGGGTGACGATAAGTAGCCGACATTAAATAATCTTTATTTGACAGCGCGATGGATATTGTAAATATTCTATATTGTAAAAACTTAATATATCAATATAAATATATATATTAATATAAATTCTTTTTTCTTGAATTATAAGCATGAAAAATAACTCGTACAACAATCGCATTTTGTTATTTTTGTTATTTTGCACATATATTTCACGATTTCTTTTCCTCATCCTTATGAACTACAATGCCTTTTTCTATAAGATCTGGAATTTCAACTGCCAACCATGGTCCCAACTGAAAAAAACAAAATTACATTTTTTACAATAGTATTCTACTACAAAGATTATCAATAAATCTTTTAATGCTTTTGCAATGTTTTAATATTAAACGTATTAGATATAACCAATACCATTAACCATTTAACTTACACCAAGAGCCATTGCATGAGCAATGCCAAATTTGGGAACATTGCGAGCCCATAATGGCTTGAAGTGATCAGTTAAGCAGATTTTACCACCTCTATACATTTTTGCTGTTTTACCATCTAATCCTGGTAGAGCAATCTCAGGTGCAGTTGTAGGATATGTAATGGGAATCTATCATTAATCATCAAAGAAGAAAAAGATTATTCTTGGGTAAACATTTCTGAATCTTCACTTTCAAGTTTTATAATTTTAATATAATTAATTTGTAAGCACAAATAAATTATTATTCAGAAAATTCTGTAATTCAAGTAGATATAAAGATTACTTACATCAAATTCTACCTCAAATTCATATTTCAGGAAATTTTGAATGTACCAGCACTTGCCAAACCACCTGGTACCTTCCTTGTTCGACTCTAGTCGGAACCAATCATTGTCTGCCTCTTTATTATTCTTAACATACTAAAACATAATAAAATCACATAATATAATCAAATTTATATATTATTATAATATTTATATATTTTAAATTCATTATTTGTTATATAGAAAAAATTCTGTAGGCGTGACGTTTGATTTGTCACAATAAATTAAAGGATAAATCGAGATTGAAGTTAATCCAATTAGAGCAACAAATATCTGCCAATATAGATTAACTTTAATCTTAATTTAATTACTTCTTGTTTTTTTCTAGTTCTAAGAATTAGAGAGATAAAGAGTAAATTAAATCGAGATTAAAGTTAATCTATATTACAGTAGATAAAAAAATTGTCCATATGGAAGTGACATTTATAACCCTGCAATGAAAAAAAGGATTTTTCAATTCCCTTACCTTAATGAGAGCCTGATACTCCTCTTTCAATCTCTGCACCCACAAATCTTTATCTCTAGGACCCGCCTTGGTTTGTAATAACGGAATGTTACTCAAAGTCTTCTTCGTCGACTCGTCTACCATCTCGGCGGATTACAATCCATCAACAACATTCATCACTCCGCAATTTGGAGGTTATGATGCCATCAGTGTTGCCAATCCAACGCCGCTCTTTCAGTGAAAGAGTGACATTAGATTGAAATTTGAATAATTGTTAAAGAAAAATTGATCATGATCAATATTTTAATTTTCTGAATAATTATGCTAAAATATATATTCGTTTTCTCGGTTCTGTATTTCTTCTTATTTTCGTATCGTTCCGTCGCGCTTTAAAACGCGTTTATCTATTGATTGATCGACTATGTTCGTTCCTGCAGTTACATTCCTGAAGCTGGCGATAAAACTAGAGTGTTGTGTCCGAATTCCAAATCGTTCCATAGCGGAGTTTACGTGAGGAATCGAACTCGTGCATGGCGATATGATGCCAACTCGTCAGTAGCGTCACTTGCGAATTGAAATAGATAAACGGCGGACGCGCGATGGCCGACTCGTCCTACGAGAAAGGACTGACCGAATTGTCGAAGATGAAGGTGAGTCGTCGCGAGTCGACTCGTATGTGCAGCGAGAGACTCGCTGTTTCTCGGCGATACCCTAACCACTGATCTTCCCCCTCGATCCTAAGAATGGTGATCACTTGCATTTATCATTTCATTAAGAGGATAGGAAAAATTACTTAAGAAAATTCTTGATATCAATTATAGGACTTATTGCAGAATGGAAAGTAAAAAAGAAGATCTTTGCTGTATAACTGATAGATGATTGATGCACTTAATCATCTCTCTACTTGGGGAGTACTTAAAAAAAAAATCTTCAATCCTGAACAAGACGTGGCTCGTCGATCAATCTCATTCATTTCCGCTGTTGATTTTTCATACCTTTGTCGTTATGACGGTCATCGGTGATCGATGTGGCATAAATGCAAAGATCAACACCGGTCACTGGTGGCCGACATTGTTGGGCACTATACGTGTAACATGCAATTACATTTCTAACATTGTGACTACATAATCCCCGATTTACAGGTAGAATAAGCCTATTCTAAGTTAAGTTATTTGTGGCAAAAAGTATTCTTTACATTGTTAAGCCTTTTATAGTCAGAATCTGGTCAACTTTTAAAGCTTAGAGATTATAACTTAAGTAGCTCAAATTACTTAGCTTAGAACATAAAGCTTACTTAAAACTTACTATACCTATTGTAGACTGTGTTCGTTATTTACTGCTGATAGTACTGAAAATATATAGTTCATGTCACATAGATTATAGATTTTTAGTACTGGCAGTGAATATTGGAATATGTCCTAGAAATAATGATAAAGAGCAGAACAAGTATATCATGACATAGATATAGATGACAAATAAATACTTTTATTTATTGTAACATTGATTACATTCCACGAAATATTTACAACTATTAGAAATTTCCTAGTAAAGATTTGATTACACTCTTAGAAATAATCAACAGATGATTTTCAATTACATAAACGTTCTGTTGAACACAGCTATGTTCAATTCTGTTTCTTATTTTCTTATTTCAAAATAATTTAATACATGGAAAGTCAATTAAAATATGCTTGCTAGCAAATTTCTTATGCACCCTTTTCAACTATAATATGTACAATTTTTTTTCATCTTTATGGATTTTTTTCTCCTGAATTTTGGAAATTTAAATCATCTTAATTTTTGCAATAATTAATTGAAGCAATAGTTCTTCGATGAAACATGAAAAATTTTTAATTTTTTGAGTTTTTATCGTGGGATAAATTTTTTTTTCTATTTAATAAAATTTTTTGTAATATATTGTTATATTTTTTCATTAGGTGGCTGATTTAAGAGTTGAATTAAAGCAACGAGGACTTCCCACTACGGGCAATAAAAATGAGTTGGTAGAAAGACTCCAACTAGCAATCCATGGAGGTTCTGTTCTTACTTTATTTTTTTACTTTGATATAAACTTAAACATTATTTGAAAGAATTGTTTATATTTTACAGATTCTGCATTGTCGTTGGATGAAACTACAGAAGAAATTTTAGATGAAGATGAAGTACTTGGTGTAAGTCTTCCACACATACACATAATTAATAAATATTAACATGATATTAATGATAATGTTAATAATATTCACATATCAAATAATGATATGATTATAAGATGATATAATATATTTAACTTTTAATTTTATTATTTTATACATATTTATTAATTATTATTTCTTTTATATACAAGAATTTTGGATTAATTATAGGATGAAGAAATAGAAGAATTATCGAGTAAGCCGGATTCACAGGAGATTCCTGAAAAGCGAAAATTGTCCATAGAGAGCAACAATACTAATGCAAAAAAGATAGTGCTGAATCGCAAACCTGTACTGGAGGAAATAAAAAATGACCAAGTAGAAAAGAAAGAAAATAAAACTGTGAAAGTGCCCGAAATCACACCACCAGAAAAAAAGATTATTAAACTATCAGAGCTCAGCACAAAAGAGGTAACTAAAAATCATGTTCTTATAGAATATTAAGTAATAAAAGCATTTTCTCTGACTACAATTTTTTTATCGTTTATTGTTTATTATTAATATACGATTGCTTCTATTCTTCAATAGAGATTAGAAATGAGGGCTAAGAAGTTTGGAATGCCGTTATCCGAGGCAGCAAAAAAGGAGGCTAGATTAGCTCGTTTTAACAGTAATCAAAATAACAAGTCAGCTGCATCTATAAAGACACCCGTGGTAAGAAATAATTCATTTTATGTTCTTAATAAAATATTAGAATTATTTTAGATTATCTAGAATTATTTTAGATTATCTAGAATTATTTTATATTATTAATGAAAATTTTTTTATAGCCTACTACATACGAAGTATTGAAGAAACGCGCGGAAAGATTTGGAAGCTCAGTGTCAACCTTAATGGAAAAAGTAAACAAAAATACTTATTTTTGCAAATATATGCATTTTATTTCAAAGACTTATTTATACTTTTTTAGTTATTAGTTTTATCTATTCTAATATCTATTTTTTTAGGCTGAATTGGCTGAACGATTGGAGAAAAGAAAGGCTAGATTCGGTGAAGTGAAGCCCGTCGAGAATAAAATATCTAAGAATAAAATTAAGATTGTTAAATGATACTCGGTGTTATATACTAAAGCGACGATTTAGATTACAATTCTTAATTTAAGTTTTCTTATTTTCAATAAAGCTATTATACATATATATGTGGAAAACAATGATTTATTGAAAATAATGTACTTTTTAATACCATTATCATTTCAGTATTAAAGCATTTCGATACTTTTTTTGTATTTATCTCATATGAATAAAAATATAAATGAGAGATAAAAGTTCTTGAACATGTAAATGAATGTAATGAATAAACTCAAACATATATAAGGAATATTTTAGTCATAATTCAGAGGCAAGATGTAATTATCAATATGAAGAATACATCCCAAATTTCAGAAATTTAAATTGCATGTGCATAATCAGAGAAATTTCTTTTCTGATACAAATTTTTATGATTTTTGTCAAAAAAATAAATTTTATGAAAATATTTTTCCATAATTTATTATATGAAATGCATAAACATTAATTAACATAATGACATAGTATTCGTAATTTTTAAAATTAATATAAAAAATATATAATATTACGTCAATTAATGTTTTTTTATGAATAGATTGATTAATCGCACATTGCGATTAATTACAGCTATTGAACCAAGATTAGCAATGTCTAAAGCCAGCGGCACACGATTGCTTGCTTTTTTTCCTGCTGATTTGTTAGCTGGATTCGCGTGCTCGTTGAGCTCTTGTCTCTGATTGGTATATTCTTTTGGATCTAAAAAAATATACCAATCAAAGACAAGAGTTCAACAAGCATGCAAATCCAGCTAGCAAACCAGCAAGAAAAAAGCATCGTGTGCCGTTGGCTTAAATCACAATGTGATGGCGCTTTTCTCTTTTTTTACGATTATTTGATCGATATTCGAGATTCGAAAGGACTAGACTTTAATAGGGAATTTCTTCATAACAATTTGGTGATATTAGAAGAAAATAGTTTCCCTGCCGGCATGTGTTTTCATAACAATCGTCTCGCAGAATATTTTATGTATTTCGAATTTTTTTCATAGTAGGACGATTTTTGCAGAACACATAAAACATCGATATGTACATTCTCCAATCGACATTATATGGTGTTTTGTATCTATGTGGATTATTCTTGAGTATCTGTTGTGAGGAGGCTACACTCGATGATGTCACGTCGTAAGTATTTTAACTAGTATTTTGCTGTCGTAAATAAATTTATTAAGATATATACATTCTTTTTAAACTTTTTAAACTATGCAATGTTTTTTTTTTATTTTTAAGCAAACGGTTTATACGTTTCTATACCATATATAAATATTAAACGTATTACAGATAATATAAATATTTATTATCAATTTCTGCCAGCTTAAGTATAATTTTATAAATTAAGTTTAATTTTGGTTTAACTTATTTTTTTTTAATTCTTAGAACTAAATAATAAAAAGTAGGTTAAATTAATATTAAAGTTAATTTATATATTGATAGAATTGAACATATATGTATATTTTTATTTTAGAATTACTCCCGAACTCAAAAATATACATTCATTTTTCTATAAATCTACAAAAGAAGACTTATCTAGGTATATATATATATATATATTGTCCTATATACCAAATTTAGCAATCAAGTTTTAAACAAGTTGACAGTTTTGATTCGTTCAATTTTTAGTGCATTTGTAGATGCAAGGAAAGATGAGAAATCCTCTGCCATGGCATCACCATGCAACTGTAAAGATATGGAAGAACAAAATACCCAGGATGCAATTTTCTACAAACGTTTGATCACTTTATTATTATCAAATCTTGCGATGCAGGCAAGTTGCAATACATGAAAATCTCTAAAAATATTAGTAATAAATCCCTTATTCCAAGTCAATCTCATATAAAATTTTTAATTAGATATAATATTAAATATAATGGAAAAGTAAATTGACAAACTATTTGTAGAAAGTTGATAATGGATTAGTTGGAACGCTTAGCATAAGCATGTCTTCTGCACAATTCGAATACCTTCAAAACTTCGTGAATGGCCAAGGTTCTATAAGAGAAGTTGATAGAATACTTGATGATATGATAAAGCAATCTGAATACTCAACATGTTACTATATGGCTGAGATGTTTCATTACTTTGATTTATTTGTGAGCAAAATATCAGACCATTGGGTGCGTTATCTGTCGCTTATGAAAGAACATGTAAGAATAATTTTGAATATTTATGGTATTTAATAATATGTATGTGATATTTTAAGTTTTATGCATTTAGGTGAATTTAATCAACTTTTAAATTGTTACAGTGGGACATAACTATAATCTCCTTTACAGTCATAGCTAGTTTTATGATTTTGAGAAGGCAAAGATGGTCCCGAAGTTTGCTTATCTTTCTCATAATTGATATTATATTTGTAATGAGTTTTTTTATGACCTGGTGGCGACTTATACAGGTAATTTGCATACTTTTTTATCATAGAAAAGATATTTTATATATTTATATATTGTTAAATAAAGTATTAAATATTAAATAAACATCTATATGATGCATATTAAAAATTCATGTATACTTGTAATAGAATTATAATTTCATATCTTAGTTTTATTTTGAACATTTGTAGGAAGCAGAAATTAAATTCATGGCGGCACAAGCGCAATTTCGAGAAATGCCGATTGCTTGTCAACCACATAAAATGAATCTTTGGGATAAAATGGTTACATGGTTTTCTCGTAAGTAATATTTCTATAATATAAACAATTTATTATTTCTTACTTTTATTTGTAAATAAAAATTTATTTATAGCTACAAATTGTGAAAAATACTATGAAACGATTATGACTAATCCTAGACTGAAAGTGACACCAGCATTAGCATTGACTCACTTTCTCAGTACAGTTATTTTCCAACCTTTATCATACTTTGGACTTGCTATATCTGAATTTATAGATAATGCTACTGGTGAGTAAATTATTTTAATGTCAATAGTAAATACATCCAAACAGTAAATTAAATTATTAATTTCATCATGCATTATTTCAGGTAATCTGAACTTTTTCTATAGGTTTCCTGTTATAATCATTATTTTCATAAGTATCTGCATATGTATAATATTGATACCATTTTCGTGGATTGGCGGATCTATTAATTTTGGTATTGGACCATTCTTTAAATTTGCAATAAAGGGCAGAGAAAGCTCTAAAGAACAAGAACGCATTGATCGGATTTACGAGGTATTAATTACTTTCTTTTGTTAAAATTATTTTGTTTTATATATTATTTATTTTGTTTTTATATTCGTTGATTAAATTATAATTGAAATTACTTATTTTCTCGTTAAAAAATTACTGTTTTAATATATTATAATATTTAGAGAGAATTCTAAATATTATAAATATATACAATATTTAAATATATACATATTATTTTTTAGAACACTTTACTTAAGCAACAATTGAAAGAATCAGAAGAAATGAAGCAAATTACATTGGAACAAGATAATGGTAATATTAAGAAATAAAGAAATAAGAGATATAAAATAAGAGATATAAAATATTTGTAATAGATTTTCATAAATAATAAAATGATTATTTCCGTTTATTAGATCCTGCTGGAGGCGATGTTGATATGCATTATTTAAAGAAAAAACGTAACAAATGCAAGTATGAAAGTGAAGATAGAGATGGAAACATGGAAATGGAATGTAAAAAGAAAAAAAAGATGATTGTGATTGCAATTGCTAACGATGTACTTCTTATATTGTCATAAATACAGTAATTATTTTATTAATAATTATTAATTTTAGATTATTAGTTATTTTTATACTATTAATAAGCATACTAATGTTATATATTTGAGATTCTATTAAGCTTATTATTTATATTATAACATTAAAAAGAATATTGGCATGATCGTAAATTGATTTTAAATTACCTGTATAACATCAAATTTTAATATTTTAAAAATATTTCAAAAATTTATATTGCATTGCATTTTAAAGCGTACTTTATATTTTTACGCTAATTTATTAATATTTGGTTTATACGAATTATGTTTATTATTTTTTCTAATGAATCGCAAGAGTATTTCTATTACTATATTTTTATAAATTATTGCTACTTGCTGTGATAACCTACTTAAGATAATATTTATTGATTGTAGTCATTATTTTGTGTAGCCTTATTAAATGATACATTGACCACTTAACACAACGCTTTATTACAATCACCTATTGCATATTTAATTGCCGAGCAATTAATAAATTGGGAATGCTATTCGCACAAATTACACGAGAGCCGAATAAACGGTAGATGCGGCGGAAATGAAAACATTCTATTGTTCGACCGGCAGCCCGGCGGCTGCGCTTTATGTCAACTCAGCTTAATGATCGGTGAGCAAGCAAGGATTTGTCAAATTTGCTAAATGTAACGTCTGCGCTCGTCGTGTAATTTCATCCATCGCGTGTGTACTCGCGGACGAACGGGTCGAGTTGTAATTGGACGAAAATTACCTCATCGAATTATGATGCTTAGAAAGCAAATTGCAAAAATCGGAGAAGTTATGTGATAATTTTTATCCTGCTTTTAAAATAAATTGCACATTTTATTAATTTTTTTTCAAATAATTGCATATCACATGTACATACATACATATTTTTAAGTTTATTTTTAAAATGATACAATATGTTGGAATTCTTTTATTTCGTGTTACAGAAAAGTGCAGGGTATACAACTCAGTTTCCGTTATAAAAGCGCGATACACTTTTCATCAACATTACATTTTTCTCGTTTTATTTGTCTTCTCTTACGCGGAAAGTAATTAATAAATATCATTAGTTGATGTGCGTAAACCGTATAATGGACATAACATTAAAAAGTTTTATTATATAAAACGTATGCTGTATTCTTGAGTAGGAAAAAATACATATTTCTTGCATCTTTTACATATTTGTAATAATTTACGTTCTCTAGCGTTATATCTAAAATTATTCCCGTCTAATTAAGATAACATTGCGCCATGATAAATTTGACAGGGGATTAAATGATGTGTGTTTTGTTTCGAGAATTCATTAATTATCAAAGGATATCCTCTAGAAGAATAGACTAATTAGTGTTAAAGATCACATATACACGAACAGTTTCCTTCGCTAGGCCAAAAAATCTTAAGAAGTAGGAAAAGCATCGTCTCTTGTTTTTTTCCTATGTCGTCCGCCAATTTTTCACAATATCGACCCTTCCCTTTAGCGAAAGTACATTTTGCATTTCGAATATGGACTGTTAAAAGGTTTTGCATCATTGCAAATGTGCGTATCTTTTATGGCCATTTCAATCCGTTAATGAGTCGTAAGTGAGGTATTGCGTTTTTACCGGAAGCGTACATTTACTGAAAGTGGAAACGCATTGCGGATTTTTCATTATGCAAGATTTATCGCAAAGTGTCACGGACATTTTTGTTAATTTTTTCTATATATCATCTGGATAAAATTGAATATGTACAGTAAAATAATATGTACATAAAAATTATAGGATATAATTTTAATAATTTTAATAATTAAGAAACATTAAACCCAATTATATATTAAATTATAAATATAATACAATATAAAATAACATAATATTAACAAGATCGCAAGTGCTGTATTCTCAGAATTGTTTTCTTTTTTTTTTTTTTTCATTGAACAAACATGTATCATATGTAGCAAAGAGATAGCATTACAAGCTGTTATTCACAAATATGAAACGGGAACGCAAAATTATTTAACGTAAAAATTATTTTTTCTGTATTTTTCGAAATAACATGAACAAGTAACATCTCGTTGAAAATTCTTTTCTATTTGGTATTGTAATTTACTGTACCATGTCTTCTTTTATCAAATTAATAATAATATTAATAGTAATATATATATATAAATTAAATTTTGAAATTTAAAAGTTTGTCTAAATTTAAAAATTAAAATGTATAATTTGAAAAGAATGTTAAATATTAGAAAATAGAATAGATATGCAATATTACTAAAATAGTAACTACTATTTAACTATTAAAAATTATAAAATATTGTGTCACGATTATAAATTTTAAATTTTACTTCAAAATATGGTTTTACTTTTGATTAATTCAAATAACATAATTGAAAACTAAAATTGATTTTTATTATTTAATGATAATAAAAGTACATACAAAGAAAAAATGACTTTTTTGAACATTTCATATTGCTATAAACCATTAATAACTCTTTCATCATTAAAAATGATATTTAAAACTATCATGATTTCTAATTTATTTAAAAATGTGATTTTATTCTTGTGATTTGTTCAAAATTTATCTGAAATTAATTTTCTTTTAAATTAAATATTAAACAAGAAAACTTTTTAAATATATTTAATATCACTGAAGTATTAAGAAATAATGAAATATTATTTCATTATCAAAACTAATGTCGAAATCGTATTGTTGTTACTTTTAATAACAAATACTCTCTAATTTTAGTTTCTAATTCCTATATAAACTCGTGTGAGATATATTGCATTATATTATAAACATTGATCTTTCGCGCGATTTCGCGTATTCGCTGGCGTTGCTTTCCAGCCTCGATCTCCGATGCAGGTTTATGCATCGTTCGTTCTATCAAATATTTGTTCTCGCGTTGCTGCTGGTACCACGGTGGTATTTGCCTGGAAAGGATGCACCTTTTGGTTCTCGTCGATCTGGCGAGCTCCATTACATGCCCGAAGTAATACCAAAGAGAGGTGGTTGGCCCGGTGTTGTGCGTTGCGTCTAGTTTTGTCGTTTGCGAAACGGCACCCGCTGGCGGCTGCACGAAAGTGCAGTGTGTGTGTTTTGTTCGTCAGTTTAGGGGAGTTGCGTGTTATTCGCGCGCAACTGCCAGCTAGCCCTAAGTTCCTCGTAATCTCGCGAAACTCTCGTGCAAAAATTGTCGCTGACGCGAATTCCTGGCCTTCGTAACGAACTTGTTTCGGTAATGACAAATTGTTTCTTGTTGGTTTTCATTTTTGTTGCACCTTAACAAAACGTATTTTTCTCAAACGTGTTTTTAAAATAACAAGAGAGATCAATATTTATAATACATCTTACATGAGTTTATATAGAAATTAGAAACTAAAATCAGGAAATATTTATTATTAAAAATGAAGACATTAGAAAAAAATAATTTTTGCATTGCGTGAAAAAAGAGATTTATGTCATCTCGTATACTTTTTTCTTTTCAATGCCTCAAAATTGACTTAATTTTTAGAAAAAGTTGTACAAATTATTCATATGCATTTTCACATTTGGATAATATTTTTTATTTGTCTGTCGTAAACACACTTGAGATAGTTTGGTTCAAGAATAAAAAGCACCGAGGGGATTGTGTGTGGTCAAAATATTTCGGAGCTATCGTTCACGATCATCGCGGACACGTTCGAAAGGGTTCACGAAGCCGTGAAAACCGCTAGGGGGAGAAGAGAAGAGGGCGAGAGAATACCGCACGTAGGTGCATAGATGCATTACATGCTTCAAGTGCTAAGGGTCAATAGCTAAGGGCGACGGATGCTTAGTTCTTTAGTTTTCTCCACGCACACAACAACACCATACCATCGTTGCTCCTTCGCATTATACGTATCCCGCTCCGAAAATTTCCACCTTTTTCTATTAACCGCCACACAATGGTGTCCTGGTTTATCTGCTGAAATACATCTCCGTGAAGGAACACAAGCGTCATAATTCAGCGTGACTATTTCCTATTGACTGGCGTTTATCATAAACTGCAAAAAATTAAATTTCAAGCGCGATAAAAGTCGAATGTTCGCCCGATCATAATTCAATGCCTGACGAAATGTCAAATGCAGATCGCATAATTGAATATGTTTTAATAAGCAGTCTGAACGTACGATAAATATTTCATTCCCGTATATTATTTATACGGGATTATTGCGAGAAAAGCTGACAAAATGCTTTTATTTCTGTCAGCATTTTATTTACTTCTATTTACAAAGCAAACAGTTTCCATCTTGTTTATAATAAATTGAGATTGGATGAAGCACAAATAAGCACAAATAAATTATATTTAATTTTCTTTAAACGTTTATAAAGAACAAAATTAAAAATATTTTAAATATTTTTCACGTGGAAAAAATAAATTAAAAGAAAATAAGTTTGTTACGTTATCGCAAAAGAGAGAATTTTTGACGTAACAGAACTTTTATAATGTATTACATAAGATTTTACTTTACTCTAATAAAATCAAGATTTTTAGAATGTAGATAGTTATTATAATAAAATAATAATAATATAATATAATATAATATAATAATATAATATAATAGTAAAGTATCATGTCTAATAGAAAGAAATTGTAAAGCAATAATTATACAAACTCTATTTAATTGTACAAATAAATAAAAGACGATGTGATGCAAATGAATAAATATGCAATAAAACAACTAAAGCGAGCAAAATAGATTAAATTTTGTCAAATCCTTAATCCTTAAAATGAGCTCTTACGTAATGCGACAATCGTGAAAATTTTGCGTAAAACTCTAATAACTTTCCGCGACATGCCTGATTAGCAAAGTAATTTTACCATGGTTGATTACCACACGTTCCGGAGAGAGTTTAACTCTAGTAGTCTAGTAGTCCTCGCTTTAATTGTTTAGTTGTAATTTATTGTTGCAATTCCCGCCACCCGACGGGAAGAGGTACCTCGGCATTCTCACGGCATGGCTCATGGGTGCCTTCCTTAACTCGATTTGACGCAACACTCTGCGCGAACAACGCCCGTGAATACGAAGCACG